TGCCTTGCGGTCCCGTGCGGCCGATCACATTGCGGCCGGAGGGCGTGGCTGCGGTGCTATTCACATCAGTGGACCGCCACTCCCCCTCCCACCCTACAATAAGGTGAGCAGGTTCTGTCTGGAGCTCCTGGTCCACCATCTGGTATTTGGTATGCTGCAGTTTTTAAATGGAAACTGTTATAAAGTGAGGAGATAGTCTCATGACTATTACTGTACTATAGATCTCTTTCCTTTCCTACCCATTATGTGTTTATCAAACCTTAGATGTATTTCAGGGGATACCATTTCACAATTTGGTCTGGTCATCCTATAGTTCCCAATTATTTATTCCTGGGCGGTATGATCTTTTTAGCATTGGTCAAAGTTTCTTTACAATGTAAAGGGGGACAGCTTATGGCACTTTTCTTTTTCTCTAACTGCAGCTGTAGAAAAAAAATGAGCTGTGACATGAGAGGCTTGGACAATAAGGTTAGGCAGTGGATATACAGTAACTAGGGATGCACCACAATTAAATTTTTAGACCGAAATAAAAAAAAAAATTGTCAGGACGAAACCGAATATATATAGATATATAAGTATTTACTTTACTGTTGAGGACTCTTGGGAAAAATATTAGGGGTCTACTAAACAGACTGCTGATATTTCCCTTTTAACATAGAAAAAGATTGAGGACACAGAGTCCTAAATCTCTTTTTCTGCAGCCCCTGTTATGAATGAACAGGAAGCCTCTATACTGAGTGCTCCTTTTCCATTCATAAACTAAGGAGATGGTATCAGTTACTATGTCCACAATCACGAATGAACAGGAAGTGATGTAGAACACTTCCTGTTCATTCATAACTGGGGACACAGTAAGCCAACTATGTCCTCAGTTATTTACAAACACTCAGCGATCAGTACTGAGCGCTTGTACTCCGCTCTCCATCCTGACTCCTTTGGCTGTCACAGGAGGCCGAGGGGCCAAGCTCTCCCCTGCACTGCCCCGCTTGGCCTCCTCATAGTGTCCTTCCTCCCCGCTGGGTGCCAGCAGCTGAATCGGCTTTGTGTCCCCTCAAGTCGCAGGCAACAGGCAGGGGAGATCAGAAGGGACATAGACTGGGGCCCAGCACTGAGAAGAGAAGCTTAGGGTTGCATCTGCATTTTGGCCATAGCACCATTTTGGCCGAAATTTTGGTGCATCCCTAACTTTAATAATCCCTTCATTAGCCAGAGTTCAGGAAGCAGGACACATAAGCTGTAACACATTTCTGAAGGGTCTAAAAATCCTGCAAGTTGCCCCCCTGTGCACCTTCATGTGACTTGTTTCTTGTCATTCCTGACAATACAAATGTGAATAAAATGATCGTGTGGCGGCCGGGTCCTTTTTCCCTTCATCGCATTTTGTTTGCAACTTCGTTGGTGGAATAAAACGTGTTCCTTGTTTTGTTCTAAACTGAATTTGGGATTTGAAGTCTTCTCTTACCAGCTGTGACTTGTTTTGACTTGTTACTAAAGAGGAATTTGACTTTTTTTTTCCTCCTGTCTTTAGGTCACCCGTCCTGTCTCAAGTTCTCTCCTGAGCTCACCGTACGTGTTAAAGCCCTCCGCTGGCAGTGTATAGAGTGCAAGACCTGCAGTTCGTGCCGTGACCAGGGCAAAAATGCTGTAAGTCTTCAGATTGCTAAATAATATCCGATAACCAAATCAAGCTTCAGTGTGACCATGGTGACTTTAACCTCAGCCGCATCTCTCTTGGGTGCTTTAAAGAATTGAAGGAAGGAGAGTGAACTAGGAAAACCTGGCAACTGGTTTATCACCGCTGTCAAATTAAGTGTTTAACCCCTTCGTGACTGACGACGTACAGTGTACGTCGCCAGCATCGGGGCTGTTTAAACAGACTCCCGGCGACTTTTGCCGCCGGGACTCTGTTTAAACTTGTAGAGCCGACTGTCGGCTTTACAACAGAAGCGATCCTGGCGACTTACCTGTCGCCAGATCGCTTCTGCGTCCCGAAGAAGGGGCCGCCCCCCCCCGCCGGACACCCCCGCCGTGCTTCCCGGGCTCCGTTGCCCCTCCTACGGGCCCGGGACCGGCGATCTTTGTGTCCGCGGGGAGCTGGGGAGGAGGTCGACGAACTTCCGTTCATCGATCCCCTCCCCGTTCTATGGGACCGGGAGCGATGCAGATTGCATCACTTCCGGTCCCTGGGCTGTCAGTTCTGGGCTCCTGCAGCCCAGCTATAAGCTATTGAAGTGCGATCTGCACTTCAATAGCTTATTTCCAGTGTAAAGGTGACACTGAGGGTCTTTTGGACCCCCAGCATCACCTTAAAGAGGACCTGTCACCACCATCTGCTATTACATGGGGGGGCTTGCAAGCCCCCCCATGTGATAGCAGTCAAAGTAAAGAAAAAAAAAAAAAAAAACAGTTTTTAAAATTAAAATGAAATAATTATGTTGGGGGGTTTTACGTCATTTTCAGGCCTAAAATGTGGAATATAACATGGGTGCAAAAATGGAAAAAAGGGCCTCAGTCATGAAGGGGTTAAAGTGGATTTTCCATGGAAGGCGGTCCCCTTCAAACCCCCCTCCCTCCCCAACACTGATGACTTTACAAAACCATTTATAAACAAACTGTTCTTTCCTCTCTCCCCTCAAAAAAGAAAAAAAAAAATCTTATTTTGGCCCCTGCCCCTGACACTTCTGGGAGGCATGACTGATATCACCGTGCCTTCCCGCAGAGATGGGAGCTTGAAATCCCATGCAATGGGCTGTAGTACATCTTTGTAGGATTTCGTGCTCCCAGCTCTTCCGGGAGTCACCATCATGTCCGTGCAGAGAATTAGAGGCCAGGTCTGAAGTAAAGGGGCTGTAAAAAAAAAGTGTTCGCCATGCTTAAACTGTTTTGTGGTGCTTTAGGCTGCTGTGTTCTGATGTTTATACCTTTCATTTCAGGACAATATGTTATTTTGTGATTCGTGTGACCGTGGGTTTCACATGGAGTGCTGCGAGCCGCCCCTTACACGAATGCCAAAAGGTGAGTGCCCTCATGTTGTTTCATTACGTCCACTCTTCTGGTGGTGCCAGTCCTTCCCTCATTTCTTGTCCTGGTTAAGCATGCTATTCTTGATCAGTAGAGCCTTATGTCAGAATAATACATTTTTACCTTCACTGCATTACGCTGTATCCACTGTATAGTATATACATGTGCAACTACTCTGAACTTTTTGGCATGGGGAAGAGGTGCATGTGCTCCCTCCCAGACGGGTATTAAAGCTGAATCCCAGCCTTCCCTTCAGAGCCTGTTCACACCATCCAGTGCGTTCATCACACAGTCCAGTGGGGTGAACGCACTGGATCGCATAAACAAAGCCTCCCTGCGTATCGGGGGCGGGAGGGGGCCCACCACGCCCCACAACGTAGGGTGGCTTTGTTTATATGATCTAGTGTGTGTTCATCCCACCGGACTGCGTGATGAATGTACTAGATGGTGTGAACAGGGCGCTTAGTCTTGCACAGTTGTGCAGGTTCCTCTCCTGGACTGAAATTGCTTACTCTGATTTCACTGTGAGCTTCTCAAATGTGCACTAGAAGCTGCAGCAAATCCAATGTCCAGCATCATCTAGCACTTTCCTTCCCAGCTGGGCAGTCCCTGGGCCGCCCTTTTCATTCATTGGGTTTCAGTTCTCTCAATCACTGAGGCTCGGCATCAAATGTGGGAGAATGCCATAGCTTCCTGTGTAGGAAGCTATGTACTGCACCCTGTTGGCCTCTCCCACCAGCCATAATCTGCTGGCCTTGCATAGAGAAGCATAAAGACCTAGTGATGATGTCATTGACTCTAAAATAAGATATGATAATGTAAATAGGATTCATTTAATATTTTCATTATCATGGCGAGGAGGAGGGAAATGAGAAGACTAAACTTTAGAGTTAAGTCCCAAAGGAGTAACCTAGCTCGAAAGCGCCGTCCATAACTTCTGAAGAGCTGAACTTGTACTTCTGCTGTAATTGTATTTGTGGGCGATATTCTAGCGGGTGGCGATCTTCAGTGGATGCATTGTAGGAGTCAGCGACATGACATTTGAGGTTTTTGTTTCCAGTAAAGATCTTCACAATAATCTGTTTTTTCTAGGCATGTGGATATGTCAGATCTGTCGACCACGGAAGAAAGGCCGAAAATTACTTCACAAGAAGGCAGCACAGATCCGCAGACGTTACACTAACCCCATCGGAAGGCCTAAAAATCGTTTAAAGAAGCAGAACGCATCGTAAGTGGGATAGTGACGCATTTCACTATGAAGTATACACTCTATTTCATAATCAGCTAGCAAGCCACAGCTTTGCCTTTCTCCTCCCACCTCCCTGTAATGGCGCCCATCCTAGTAATGGCCAGCCGTAAGGTCAAGGGAGTGAAGCAAGGCACCAGCTGTCACTCATAGGCTTCTATTTCTAAACGATTTTCAAACTCATTTTGCTGTTTGCTCCTTTTCTAGGACTAAAGCCCCGTTTGGTAAAGGTCGTGGCAGCCAAGGGAGAGGGAGGAAGCGCAAGTTATCAACGTGTACGTCTTCATCGGATGAGGATGGCAGGAACTCTGAACCCGCACATGCCTGTGGTCCTGCTGTTCCCTTCAACAAGAAGACAAAAGGTCTCATCGATGGCTTGACCAAGTTCTTCACTCCTTCTCCTGATGGACGCAAGGCACGAGCGGAAGCATTGGACTATTCCCTGCAGCGTTCACGTAAGAGAGGGCCACGCAAGTCCGGACAGGCGGACTGGGGTAAGGGAACATTACTGGAAAAACCAGGGCCTTCACTTGTAGGTTAACGGGTCGAATGAAATAAGTATTGAGAGGAATATGAAGGCTGCTGTTCTGAAAATGCTAGTTACTACTAGCTGCTACTTGGCTGTCTTGCTGATCCGGAATACTTTCCAAGTCACTTTCCATAAACAAGTACAGAGATCTGGACTTCTGAGTTGTCAGGTAACTAGTATTTAAAGTAGGTGATCAGCAGTGGCATCCTCTGTATTTCCCTCAGTATAGATTTCCTTTCAGTGTCCACTTTAGATTTTGCCAACATACCTCGGTGTTTTCTAAAACTAAAATATAGGCTTCCACAATTGGGCTCTCAGAATATATCGCAAAGCTCATTTTTCTAGTTTCCATCTTAATGCAATGTACTGTGATGACTTGTAAGGGTCTCATTGGCTTTACCCTTCCTTAACTTGCTTCCTGTTCTGTTTTATTGACCCTTGGCCTGATCCTGGTAGGAATTAGATTGCTTGTCGGCAATATGAAAAGCCAGTGGGCATAAAAGCATTTCTTTATGTCTTGTACTTTTTGGCTGTGAGCTCCACTCCTATATGAAGCCTGATTTGTGGCCATTCCTTTGGGGGAGTTTAGCAGCGCCTATTAGTTGCCACCCCCTCTGTTATGCACTTCTGCTGTCACTTTCCTGGCACCTCTATTCAATTAGGCACCCCACAATTATTCCTCTTCCCCAACATCCCGCTGTCAGTCTTGTTCTCTTGCTCTCATCCTCTTGTCATTCTCTCCCAGCAATGACCTCCAGGAAAATTAGGAGCTCTGTAGCATGCACCCATTGTCCTCTGAGAGCATCCCCCCCCCCAAGCAGTAGAATGGACTAGAGTGCTGCCTGTACACCTTTTATGTTTGCAGTGACTGCTATTACCAGGGAGGTGATTGATAACAGCAGGGTGGTGCTGGTTGGGGAAAAGCTGGGGCAAAGACATGGTATGTGTTGGCGCTACGGATGTACCGGTACTCGTACTCGGCCAAATGCTCCAATGCCTAGCCTGATACTTCCGGTATCAGGAAGCCGGGCAGCGCGTCATTACACTTGTGACGAGAGAGCATGGAGCCGGCTTCCCGGCCACTCAGGAAGCCAGGCAGCGTGTAATGATGTGCTGCCCGGCTTCCTGATTGGTCGGAAGCTGGCCCATCAGGAAGCCAGGCGCCGTGTAATGACGCAGCACCCAGCTACCTGATTGGCCAGAAAGCCAGTTCCATGCTTTCTCCTCACCTAGTGACGAGGGTGCATGGGGACAGCTTCCCTGCTAATCGGGAAGCCGGGTGGTGAGTCTTTATAGTATTTGAGTATTGGTATTCGGTATCGGCGAGTACCGAAAAAAAATTACCGGTACCGTACTCGATACTGAAATACCAAATATCTGTGCATCCCTAGTTGGCGCTCTATCCCAATTACTACAGGCCTCCCTGTGCATGAATAGTGATGGGCTTATCTTGGGTGCACGCCTGCTGCTCATAACAAGTGCTGTCACTCAAAACTGATAGGGGGTGAGAAGTGTTGACCACATAGAAGGGACAAAAAGCTACATGAACGTTGACTTCTCGGGGGACAGGAGTAACTAAGCATTTCGTGAGACTACTTTTACTTTTTTTTCTTCTTCCAAATCTGCTCAAATGATCGAGTTTGTGGGACCTGTGGGTTACCTTTGTTTCGTTTTTATTACATAAAGTGTATTACAGGTTAAAAGGAAGTCCAAAGAGAACAAATTAGTGGGTGCGAACTGATCTACTTAAAGCTAGTGCAAAGTGTCTTACTTTTGTAGCTCATTGCACTGATTTATGCCGAAGTGAACAAAGCAATTCTGGCTTTTCTAATGCAGACAATCGAGATGGTTGGGATTGCAAAACAGATACAGACGATCGACTGGGAATGGTCTCTGACAAAGAAATTGAACTTTTTGAAGACATTCAGCAGCAGGCACTGCAGGTAAGGCTTTGTTTCTGGTACCAAGTCATTAAATACCTGGGGAAATGTTCCATGCCGATTTATCCACAGAATCCCAAAGCGGAACGAACCGAGCGTTCTCAAGGCAGCTCCTCCAAAATAGACCTGGTGAAAATGTTATGTGCTGGCGCTATGAATGATGGGACATGTAGTCCCCATGAATATAGTGAATGACACTGACTTTATTAGTGCGTGCTCCTAGCAGGAAATTTGGGGAAGTGACTCACTGGAAGGGGGAGGAAAGCGGGGGCAATGCTGCTAACAAAGTGAATTAAAGGAGAACTATGAGGCGAGTGAAAATCACTCAGCCTCATAGTTCTAGCAGACCTGTGAGAATGAAACTGTCACAGGTCGGCTCATACCGTCGCTCGCTCACTTCTCGAACCTGTCCCTGCAGAGACTGTCACTCACGGCTCCCTGCAGGGATTCCCCCCTCCCCTGTCCGATCCTCCAGCGCTGACTGGCGGAACGGACGGGGACAGGTACAGCTGGCTCTGCCTCTAGATAGGCACAGCCACAGCCAGCTGTCACTCAAGGAGCTGGGTAGATCCAGGCAGTAATGTCGGGATCCCTCCCGGCTGTGGTGTCTCAGTATACTGTGAGCTGTAGCTCGCGGTACACTGACCTCTGGGTGACGGGAGGACGCTAGTTTGTGTCCTGTTACCCTTAGGAGAACTATGGTGAAAAGCCCTGACCCCCATAGTTCTCCTTTAAGTATGATGGAGTAGAGGTGTATAAGAGCCCCTGTTAAGTTTTATTGCGGGCTGTGTAGATTCACCCTACTTGTCCTGGTGTCCATTGTCCGTACAGTACAAAAAAGTGATGAGAAAACTAGAATTTTAGAGGTGTCACCATAACAAGGGCTGAGAGTAAATGACCCAATGGGAATACTTGTTCCAGTGACAACTAAGAAGGGAATTGCTGTCAATTTGTAGGGATATCCTCTCTTCCTGTTTGCCAATAGGGCACAAACGAGAGAAAAAAATAACTGGAAGGGTTGAAGCACTTCATAGCTGTATCAAAAGCAAAAAAGATATAAGTGTCACTTTAAAAAAACCCAAACACTTGATGGCTTCTGTGTTGGTGTGAAATGTCCTAGTGGTACTTCTGCCTTGTAGCACTGCAGTCCTCGGTTCCAATCCTGGCCAGGACATGATCTTTCTGGATTTTGCATGTTCTCCCTGTGCTGCTTTGGGCTTCCCCCGGGTGCTCGAGTTTCCAAAGACATGCTGGCAGCTTAATTGGCCCTGTATGTGTGTGTTATACGGACACCTTAGGGCTGATGTGAATGTGCAGTGTGTCATTTGTCGGCACTATATAAATGCCCGTCATAAATGAAAAAAATATGCGAGTTGTTGCTTTGGAGCACAAAGTTCAGCATGTTTCTGATCCCTTGTGTTTTACATGAGTAGGTTTCTGCCTTCCAGCCACATAGCATGTTAATTGCCAGTATTACAACTACTCGGCTTCCTGGTCAGCTCTCCTCTGGTATCCAGTTGGTTAATTGGAGTGTTCTTGTGACTGTTCACTGCTGTGATTATTCCCACAGGAGAGTTGCGTGCTGCTGTCACCTAGGCACGGGTTGTAGAGGGAGGGAGTAGGGAGGAGAGAGCCCAGGGGAAGGAAGAGACAAACAAGAATCAGGATAGAAAGATTAAAAAGGGGAGGGGTGAGAAAAGCACCTCGGGTGCCCTCGACCCCCCAGCTCAGATACCAGGAAGCCATGTGTAAGCAGCTGTATTGGAGTCCTGGGACCACTCTGACCTTGGGCATTCAGCTGGAGGAAGGTGCGGGGAGAGAAAGCAGGGAGGACGTGCACATTGCTCAGGTTAGTTTGCACTTTCCGTCATACTAGTTTATAAAACCTGCGGCTTCCTGCTCATGTTTTATGACATGCAAAGTTCTGGTTTTCGACGGGCAATAAATGAGCAAATGTAATTACTGTGAACAGTCATGATGCATATCGCTGTGTTTGATGATGAAACAGTTTGCTGGCTTCCGATCTAACCTCTCCGCTTTTTTCATTGCAGAAAGTGGGTGTCAGTGGTCCCCCTGACCCACAAGTCCGCTGCCCATCAGTCATAGAATTTGGAAAATACGAAATTCAAACGTGGTACTCGTCTCCATACCCCCAGGAGTACACAAGGTAAGAATATTCTCTAGTCCCATAATGGCATGATGATGATAACTGCTGTTTGGTGGTGGTTTGACCCAGGCTCTTCTTCCAGTTGTCTCCTGTGTTTTATATATTTCTGGAACTCATGTCTCTGTGACTTTTATGTAAGTCAGTTGTAGTGATGCTCGATATCAGTCTGTTTATTGTAGGACTGGTCACGCTAAAGACACAGAAGGGGATGGCAGGGGTGGTAGTTCACCGGCATCTGAAGCACTACGTCTGTGTGTGCAACTGCTGAAACAAAAGTGCAGTTGTTGTCAATTACATTTAAACAAATTTAAAGGATAAGTTCACTTTCCCAAGTGAATATGGGAAAATGGAATGACCCCTTCTTCCCCCACCCCCCTGCTATACTTACCATTCAGCGAATGCTCCTTCTCCTCCACCGGTGTACTATCCGCACCCCGTACTGCCATGTAGCGCAGATTTTGACATTCGCCTGCAAATGACAACCACACATTGGTCAGCGTAGTCACCTGATCATGTCCTGACCTGTCCATGCAGTTTTACTCATTGCTCTTTTTTTATTTTTCGCCTTACTCTTTGAACACAGAAGATGCCAAAGGTTAGTGCGACAGCTTTCTGCCTATTCAGTTAATGTAAACAGGCAAAGCACAATAACCCTCAGAAATGTACTGAGTCCAGACCAGGTCGTTGTGGATTCTGGTTGCTATTGGTGCCTTTTGCGTTTACCTTGGTGGCGTTTCATTGAATAAGCCGTCTGAGTGTTTTCTGTGGTGAATGTTTCCTGCACTGCTTAGTGGTGCAGCTGCTGATAGAAACTTTGCACCGCGCAGAGTTCTATACATTGTGAATGGCATTTAATGAAGGGAACTTCACAGTTGTCATACTTATATCCTGTACAGAAATGTTCTTTCCATCTTGTTCCTGTAACAGCGTCGCCTTCCTGATTTATTTTTCCTTTACTTCTGTTTGCTTTAGGCTCCCCAAGTTGTACCTTTGTGAATTCTGCCTCCGTTATATGAAAAGTCACACCATCCTACAGCAGCACATGAAAAAATGTGGCTGGTTCCACCCGCCTGCCAACGAGATATACCGGAAGGACAACCTCTCAGTGTTTGAGGTAGGTATAAGTGAGGAATGGGGCGGTGAGAAATGAAAGATCTACTCTTCGTATTGCCTTGCACTTTTTATGCAAGGTTCACTTCTTTTGTAACCCCAGGTAAAAAAAAAACATGAAGTTGAAGAAGAAAAATTAGGTTGCGTTACTCCCTGACTTAAGACTGCTCTGTGTTGGAGCGGTGCTTCACCCAGGATCCTGTAAATGCTTAGAAGGCCAAATCCTGTGAGAATGTGCTCCAGCGGTCTGCAGGAGCGATGTCTCAGAAGATCTGGGCTCCTAAGTGTTTCCAGGATCCTGGGAAAAGGACTAGTGAGGTTACGCTCCCTGGAAGTCAGTGTGTAAGGTTAATATTCTTTTCATTTCTAATATTTTATTACTTTTTGTTCTTTCACTTGGTGTATATTTCACTGGTAGGCGGGGGGGGAGGGACCCTGCAGGAGTAAAATACCTTTTTGTTTTCATGCAAGATCTGATGTAAGTTGGATACCCACTATAGGTAGTTATTTGTAGTTTTAATGGTGATAATTGGAATGTCCAGTCCACAGCAGCACACATGCCAACTTCAAACATGTCAAACCACCAGCAGAAAATGAGAATTCTCACCAGAACTTTGACATTTTGCAAAGCAGCCACCCAGATTTCCAGGGAATTGGCTAACGTTTAGCATTCTCATTATTCAGTCTGCTGTTGAAGGCAGCCATTGTGATATAGAGAGAACTTTAGAATCACTTGACGCTTCTGTAAAATGGATTATGCTTTAATTCTAGTTCATACTGAGAAGCTGGCTGGTCACCCAGCTGCTTTACATCAGAGAGATGTGTTGTGTGTATAGGACCAGATAGACATCAGTGACGTGCAGTACCTCTTGCTCGGGGTGAGGCATTCCCCAACCGCGGCCCCCATCGGCCGAAGCCCCACCCCCACTGGCCGAAGCTCCCCCCCCCTACCTGGTGAAGCCTCTCTCCCAACCCGTCCCCAAGCTAGTGTAGAGGTGAAAGGGAGGAGCCTCCCTGTCCCTCACTTGCTCCTTACCCCTGAGGCTCCCTGACAGGTTACACAGCGGGGAGGATGTCCCTGCTGTATAACCTGTTAGATGCCGATCTGAATGGGGAAAAAGCTATCAGCTTCAGACATGAAGCTGACAGCTTTTTCCTCCATACTTCTAGGTGAGGCTCTGCCTCCCCTTACCGCACATCCCTGATGGACATGCACTTGCCTTATAAACCTTATAGTTAATGTGTGCTTTGCCCATGCAGGGAAAGCAATGGGTTCCCTGTTATTGCAAACAAATCCTTACCTTCCTTCTGCTGCAGTGCTGGTTGCTGGCTTTGTAACTTCCACAGGACTTCGGACTCCCTGTGTGATGGAGCTGATTGGCCCAGTGCTGTCACATACAGTGAATAGCGTGCTCCTCCATGGCCGGATTTATTGGGTCTCTTCCTTAGCTTCCAGCACTAAACTGAGCAGCCAGGGAATGAAGGAAAAACAGAGATTTGCTTTAGAAGTCAGCTCTACAAAAAAAAAAGGGGTACTGATGGTTTAAATTGCCCACCATCATCAGCATGCATATTTCTTAGAGGCTCAAATAATAAGATTTCTTCCAGAGTATTTGTTGTATTGCTGTCCACATGGCAATAAAAATACATTGCTTTTATGCCTCTTAAAGGAGAACTATGGGGTTAGGGCTTTTCCCCATAGTTCTCCTTAGGGTAACGGGAGGACACAAACTAGCATCCTCCCTTCACCCTAGGCTCAGTATACCACGAGCATCAGCTCGCGGTATACTGAGACGCCACAGTATGCCGTGAGCTACTGCTCGCAGTATACTGAGACGCCGCAGCTGAAGCGGATCCCGACAATTATGTCTGGATCCGCCCAGCTGCGTGAGTGACAGCTGGCTCTGCCTATCTAGAGCCAAAGCCAGCTGTACCCTCCCCCGTCCGTTCCACCAGTCAGCGCTGGCGGAGCGGGGAGAGGGGAATCCAGCCCCTCCCCTGTCACGGCAGAGAGCTGTGACAGGATCGAGAGGTGAGCGAACGCCGATATGTGTTCGCTCACCTCCCGATCTACTGAGCCGACCTGTGACAGTTTCATTGTCACAGGTCGGCTAGAACTATGAGGTGAGTGAAAAGCACTCCCCTCATAGTTCTCCTTTAAGTCTCTAACTTTGGAGGTGTGTGACACTTTTGTTTGGCTTTATGATGGTCTTGTCGTATAAATGAAATTTTTTCTGGGTTATAATACCCTTGATGTCTCAGAGAGCTCTAAAGCGGACATTTACACTCAAAATCAAATTCTTCCAATGCATCCCTCTATATAGGATGATTAATAATAATATAGACATGTCAGGTGTAGAATGCTGTTATTGTGAAATACTGACACTTGCAGAGCATTCACTTCCTGCTTTGAAAGGGCAAAATGACTTCAGTTTGCCAATGCAATGCACACTGGGATTGCCTTGTCATCAGCAGAGCATTGCTGGAAAATCTCATCTGTAATCTCAAGGAAAGGCATTTTCCTCCCCAGAGATGATGTGCATAGTCACGTGTTCTAGTCACATGTGCCCAGAGTTCCAGGAAGTAAAAGAGCTAGTAATCTGCCCTTAGTTAACATTGCCACTGTCAGAAGACTGGGGAAGAAGAGAGAAATAAGGTATGCAGAGAATACAAAGCTGACAATTATCTAGAAGTATGTGATTGTAGTTTGTCATCACTAAACATTTCTAAAGGTGTCTTTGTAGTTATTTTAAAGATATGGGTAAGGCCTCATTCACACTCGAAAAAGGCCGGCACGTACAGCTCAGTGCTGCATGCACGGCCGTGTTGGGCAGCTCCCGGGAAGGACAGGTGCTGCGTGTGATTAGTACGCAGCCCCCGTCCTTCTCTATGGGAGCACGTGGCCGTATGCCCCCCGTACGCTCACCTCAAGTGCAGGTGCGTATGGGTGCGGGTGTCCTGACTCGAACACAGACAGGATCCATCCTGTCAGCGTACGAGTACGCACACCCACGCGGATGTGCAGGGCGGGTGAACGTAGGGCGGCGTACAGCCGCATAGTCCCATAGAGAAGGGCCGGGGCTGCGTACTAATCACACGCAGCACTGAGCTGTACGTGCCGGCCTTTTCTCGTGTGAATGAGGCATAAAGGTCCGCTTTAAGAAAACCTGCATACTATGCAGCACTACTGGAAATCTAAATTGTTCATGGTACTGGATTATAATGAAATCATCTTCACAAAGTTATGTATAGTGAGCATTTTCACGTAAAAAACTTTTCTCAAGAAAGCTGATTTTGTGAAAATGTACTACAATTACTACAATACTACAATCATTTAAATGCAGGCATGCTACATTCTGTTTAAAGGACATCTGTCCTGGGGATGCCATTGCCTATTGAAAATGCTAGTTCTATACTCATGCCAATGCTTTCACTTCAATACTTTGAGTTGTGGAATCAGACTAAGTATAGATGAGAGGCATCCAGGCAAATTCCATTTATAGGCCAAAAAGGACAACAACAGATCATATTTCTCCATTGGCAGGTATATTTTAAATGCTGATCTCTGGTAAATGATGTTCACGTAGAGAAAAGCAAAAAAAAAGAAAGCTGATTTCATGTCTTTGTTTCAACCTCTCTCCAGGTGGATGGAAAGGTCAGCACGATCTACTGCCAAAACCTCTGCCTTCTGGCCAAGCTCTTCCTCGACCACAAGACTTTGTATTATGACGTGGAACCCTTCCTCTTCTACGTGCTGACACAGAACGATGCAAAAGGCTGTCATTTGGTCGGCTATTTCTCCAAGGTGAGCTTATGGCAGCTGTACACCTGTCTTTGGGAAGAAATGCCTTAGACCCCATTCACACCTAGCGACATACCTTTTGCAGCGGATCCGCACGGCCGGGATAGCGCGACTTTCGGGGCGACGTTCCAGCGACGATCCAGCGACGGTAGCGCGACCTTCCCCGTCGGGCTCCATAGAAAAAAAGCAAAATCGCGCAAAATCCGCAGAAAAAAGGGTCCGGTAGAAGCGACTTGCGACCGCGACGAGCGACGCGCGACATGGAGTTAAGACAGCTCCATTGAATAACATTGGCCGGCGACTTCTCGCGATATCGCGCGGCAAAAATGCGCAATATCGCGGCGGAAATCGCGCGACAATTCGCTATATGTGAACGGGGCCTAAGATTCAGCTGCTCTTTTACAAATAGGTTATACGAGATTTGCTTCTTATCTAGATGAATACAGATGGCAGGGCTGACTAGGAAGAGTTATGAATACTCATGACAATGTGCTTGTGTCACAATGACCTTATTAAAATGTATCATTATGGCCTATTGTGCGTCAAACCACGCCTACCACTGTATTGCTGTGATTTAATGTCATTTGCAGGATGCATGTGTGTGTTTTATTGGGTGAGGATCTGGTTATGATATTTACTCACAGAAGTTCTCATTTTAGAGGATCAACATGAGCCTCTGCCTCTGTATTACACCCTAGGAAGAACACAGCTTACCCTGTTTCCCCGAAAATAAGACCTACCCCGAAAATAAGACCTAGTACTATTTTTGGGAATTGCTAAAATATAAGACCTACCCCGAAAATAAGACCTAGGTGTGGCCATCCCCAGGGCCGGTGGTGGCCGCGGGAGAGGCAGGAGAGAATCAGCGGTGCCAGCGCTAGAGGAAGCGAGGCGGCAGCGGAGGGAACAGAGACGCATAAGCTGATGCCTCCTCTATAGCGCCGGCTCCTGTCACAGGTGGAGTGATACCAAATGCACTCCGCCTGTGAGGAATTGATAGTGAAAGTGCACTTCGCTCATTCTGGCCAGCGATTGGTTAGCAAATTGCTCTTGGAAAGGTACGGCACCCCTGATTGAACTGATCCCCATATTTTTGTACATGAATACATGTAGACTTTTCTAAATGAATAAGTGTGGATTGTTGTACATAAAAAATAAAAATAAGACCTACCCCGAAAATAAGACCTAGTGTGTTTTTTGAGCCCAAAAAAATATAAGACAGTGTCTTATTTTCGGGGAAACACGGTAGTTCAAAACAAAAATGCCTACTGTATGTATTGCTGTTAAAGTGTATGACGATCCCAAATTTGGTTTCTCTCTGTATGACGAGCTAAAATTTGGTTCCTCTCTGTATGACGAGCCAAAATTTGGTTTCTTTCTCATCTATTGAAGGATACAGGAAGTAATTATTAATCTTCAGGCTATACTCCTGCCTACAGGAGGATTGGACACTGCCAAACAAACTGTGGGTCAGACCAGGATAATCCCTTCCACTACCAGCGGTCCTCAGTTTTTTTACTAGTGTCCTAGGAGAATGAACATTTCTCTCCCGTTCATTGAAGGATACTGGAGACTTGTCAGCAGGTGGGGGGTTTGGCCACCGGCAGGGGCCGCCCCTAGGCTGTAATTGGTCTTTAGTTTTGTGCCTAGCGTCCTTCTCCTGCAGGTGGCGATATTACCCTACCATTCAGGATCTACGATCTGTTGCCTGTGTCCTTCAATGAACGGAGAGAAAAGGATTTTACGGTGAGTACAAAAATCCTATTATTTCCTTCAGCTCGGCTGCGTAAAACACTAACCTGTTTTCTCTCCCGTTCATTGAAGGACACAGGGAACAGATCGGAGATCATGTACTGTAGGGTAATATCGCCACCTGCAGTACATGATCTCCGATCTGTTCCCTGTGTCCTTCAATGAACGGAGAGAAAAGGATTTTACGGTGAGTACCAAAATCCTATTTTTCTGGCACCATTGGTTCCTCAACATTTTTTTTTCTTCATACAAGGCTTTTCTCTGCGACGCTGGTAGAGCTTTTTCTATCCCTGCAACTGTGGATCCTAGAGTGCTGTGTCTGGACCTTACTTTGCATAATAGAAGTCACCAGCACTCGATGATGTGTGCAAGAAGTAAAGCACTTTTTATTAAATCGTCACATGCGTCATACAGCCAACGTTTCGAGGCCACGCAGGGTCCCTTCTTCTGGGCGACATAGAAGAAGTGCTTTACTTCTTGCACACATCATCGAGTGCTGGTGACTTCTATTATGGATTGTATCTAACACGGCGCCATCCATGTTGTCACTTCAAGCACCAACCTTTCATCCAAGGTCTGTACGCTGTATGGAGTGCAGGTGGTTTCGTATTATCAATTGGACCTTACTTTGGACACTGCGTTCCGTGTAAGGCACTTTCCATTCTCTGTTCTGATAACTTTGGTGCCTGGTGAATTTAAGATTCCCGCTTTTCACTGCAGAAGGGGTTAACACTGAGGAACAGAGTAATTTATTGGGTGGACTGTCACATACATGCTCTAGGCTCTTTACCTCCATTCAGTATTGAGGAACATCTCCTCACTGCTGCTCCTACTTACAGATAGCCACGTTGAACTCCTATCTTTGGTCTTAGCCTGCTTTGGTCACCTCCGGCCATCTGACTCCCTTGCTACCAGCTGTTTGGGTTTTGTCAGTGGCTGAGGCCTTGCCTCATACCCTGAGCCTTAAGTTGCCTAGCCACCACACAATTGCAACCATTCTGATCCTAGACAAGGGGATATAATCCCGCTGTACCGGGTGCTTCAAGCTCACACTATACTATCAACTCTGGTGCTGCTTGAATTATGCCCACTGATGTGTCTGATATCTGCAGCCTGCAATCCTGTTGCATTCTGCTCCTATTCTTTATCCTGCCGTGAGAGTCTTCCTTAGCTCCGCTGGGTGTGACAGTCTCCTCTATCCTCTTTGAATGATGGCTTTGCTACAGTCATGCAAGGATTTTTTGGTCCAGATAAGCCAATTGTTTGCTGAATCTTACCGTAGTGTCTACCCGCGCCTTCCCCCTGCAGATTCTGTATCTGATCTGCTATCTGAGCCATCAGCTGCTGAGAGACTGCTTCTGAGTTGCTCTAGTCCTTGCTGGACAAGCTTGCCTCTGAGAGGTCACAATCGTCTGCCATTACTCCCAAAATCGGAGACCACTATGGCTGCTCTTGATGCAGTGTGCACTACTCAAATAAGTGATCTGCTTTAAGTGTGGATACCTCTGTGTCCCTGCCTTAACGAAGAAACCTCAAATGCCATTGGAGGATGGGTGGTTGGAAGCCCTCTCTAGAGTTCTGTTCTCGCTGGCAGGCCTTACTCTTCATCCTAACTAAGCTGTGACCTAGCTATGCCAAACTGTGGCTGTTTGGGCAAAGCCCCTTAAAGGGGATCTTGATACTACTGCAGTTGATCTCTTGGTCATAGAAGGTTTGCAGTAAATATTTGTAGCGTTATGTTACAGTTGTGACAGGCTGCTGGGGGTTGTCCATGTCATAGCCTGCGTTGGTATCCTGTAGGTAAACATGCGAAGAACACTTTGGTTAAAGTGAAATACTGTGGAACTTTAGTCTAATACTTGAGTCTAAAAAGCATCTAATTTGCATATGCCCTTCTAGGGACAAAATCTCCTTGGATCTACCCTGAATGCCATTATCAAGGATGCTACTAGTTGCCAGAGCACCTGTCTTCCCTAGTGGAAGTCCATAGACTGGTAAGGCTCATCCCTAGCTGGGGGTTAGGAAAAATCCTTTTTTCCCTGCAACTTCTACAACATCCATGTCCAAACTGACCTCTCTCAATCTAACAGCAAGGTCCAGGGTCTCCATGTCTGCGAAACCCTCAGACAAACCTTTCTCTGCATTAAGGTGTACCCCACTTACCAAAGTGTTGGCATGTTTAACATTTGCAGACACTTAGACAGCTTGCATCTCGGATGTGGGAGGTGGTCTCCAGGGGCTACAAGCTGGAGTTTCACTTTGTCATCAACCTTGGTTACTCCCCTCCAGCCTCCCTATGTGACCCATCAAGCCCTCTCGGGTCTTCTGGATATCCTAGTTCCGGTGATGTTATGGTTTCAGCTATACATAGATCCCAAACCCAAAGGGAGTATCCGCTCCATCTTCGGTCTCAAAGCACTAAATGTCTTCATTTGAGCTTTGAGATTCCGCATGAAATTCACCAGGCCTGTCATCGCCTTTCTTCACCAGGAAGACTTTCTAGCTTCTGTGGACATCGAGGATGCATACCTGCACGTCCCCATCTTTTCAGTGCGTTCCTACACTTTGTAAGTCTGGGAAACAAAAGCAACGCAGAGCGCCTCCATAGTATAAAACTTTTATTTGATGAGTACAACACGCAAGTGAAAATGTACTTACACGAAAGCCAATGATCATAAGCGTAAAAGGAAACGATAAAATATAAAATCTCCAGCAGGGGAAGTCAGAGGGGATCTCCAAATCAGCGTCCTCTGCTCCCGTATGTTTTAAAAAGGTCTACGCGTTTCAGGGGCACGCCCCCTTCATCAGAACCTAAGTTGTAAGTCCCCTGCACCGCCAGTTCGCATCTCCCTGCTGCTGCTGCAGAAGACGCATGCAAAGTCTCCTCCAAAAACTGCCTGCTTGCAATTTTTTCTGAGTTCAGTTCCACTTTAAAGTGATTGTGATTGGCTCATGCAGATCAAAGCAACAAGTTTGCTTTTGCATCGGGTCTCTCAGCGCCACATATGCACCTTTTATTTGGGCAATAGAAATACCCTTTGGCAGACGAGGCATTCCATGTAGCCTTTCAGGTTGTAAGTAATTGACTCGGTCATGTCACATGGATGTTTGGTAAGACAGCCGCATGTAACCTCTGGCTTATTTGACTTGAGCATACGAAGGGCTATATTTCCTTTTAGAGCAGCAGAGGCGCATGATGAATGTATGTATATGCTGTGGGGGATAAAGCCATCCTGACAAAGTTTAAAAGTGATGATGAGTTCTCGGGCACTTGCGACAGCTGGATAACAGAATTTCTCCTAAGTCATATATTCCACAAACGACCTACACACCCTGCGCAGCTCCTCCTAAGGATAGGGAACCCTGAGGCCCCGTTCACACTGAGCGATTTATCGCACGGTAATTCCCGCGATATTGCGGCTATTTACCGCGCGATATCGCTCTCCAATGCATGGCAATGGGGGCAAAGGGTCCTGCGTCGCTACAGCAGGACCCTTTTTGGAGCGGATTTTGCCGCGATTCAATGCTTTTCAATGCAAGCATTTGCGCGATATCGCGCAAAATGCAAATCGCGCGACAAAGGAGAACTTTTCACTCACCTCATAGTTCTAGCCGACCTGTGACAATGAGACTGTCACAGGTCGGCTCAGTAGATCGGGAGGTGAGGGAACACATACCGGGTTTGCTCACCTCTCGATCCTGTCACGGCTCTCTGCCTCTAGATAGGCAGAGCCAGCTGTCACTCGCGCAGCTGGGCGAATCCCGTCGTCTAAGTCGGGATCCACTCCGGCTGCGGCGTCTCAGTATACCGCGAGCTGTAGCTCGCGGTATACTGAGCTTAGGGTAACTGGAGGGCGCTAGTTTGTGTCCTCCCGTTACCCTAAGGAGAACTATGGGGAAAAACACTGACCCCATAGTT